AAAAAATCAAGGTTCTGGCAGGAATTCCACTGTTGGGGCACAGAGCTCCATTGTTCCAGGCACAGAAATCTGTGCACCGAGCACCAAAGACACTTCGAGCTGGGATCTCGGCAGGCAATTCCACTGTTGCAGGGGCACAGAAACCTGTGCACCGAGCACCAAAAACACTTCGGGGTGGGATTTCTAGATAAAGAAGCAGTAGCACACCTTATGGCCACAATTGATACAACAGAACATACCATTTCGGGGCGCGCTCCCCCTTGCTGCACCACGGGGTCGGCGGATATATAGTATTTTTATAACACGTGTTTTGAGAGGAAGCCCAAGAAACTTGTAGGGCCTGAAACATCATCATGACGTGTGTACACTTTTTAATTTGGTGATGAGACAATATAGTTGTTTTCAGATTCCTTTTCATTCTTCAGGGTCTGCACCCACAAGCATCTTTCCAACTCTAATACAACAGAGTGTGAGTGTGGTGACATTGTTTGCTTCTTCAACTTATTTGCCTTTCTCTCACGTTTCTCTTCCAGTGTGAGCTCGTCATAAAGGGGTGCTTTTCCCGTGCCAGGTGCCTTCCGCAAGGTGTATGGCAGCCAACAGCGCAGAGGCACCTGCACCAACGTCTTCGTGCGGAGTCCCTGTGGACTGAAGGATGGACGGAAGGATGAGAGATGAAAGCCAAAATAGTCGTTTCTTGTTGCTAGTAGCGATGCCCGGAGCCCCTAGTAGCGTCCTTGCTCCTAGTAGTAAGGCCAGGAGCCCCCTAGTAGCAAATATTTAGATGATACATGTGCAAACTGGTTGTCCTACATTGAGGAGTGTGATTTGTATGGTTTGGTATGGTTTTGTGGTAATTTTGCCTGGACTGGCATCTAGGGAATGCTGCTAGACAAACACCTGCATGACTCGGTGTTGTCAGCTGGAATGATGGTGATGACCATGTGATTTACGTCTTTGTTGGTCAATGCTCCAGCCTTGAAAGGAACTCTCTACGCTTACACTTTGGACGCCCACGTCCAAGACAACACCATGAAGAAATACATGCTGCTTATCCACGATAAATCCACTCGCTTTGACATTGATCAGACATTAAAGTTCGAACGTAGAAAGAAGTCGTCATGGATTCGCATCGGTGTTCCCCCGTTGGTCTTTGTCCCACTGAGTAAACTGGTGTAACACACGCTCGGGCTTCGCCGAGACCAAATCATCGGGCAAGATCGCCAGATACATCTTGCAACAGCTTGAGGACTGAAACCTGTGAGACAGACATGGACGCGACAGGCGAAGGAATAGCAGCCATTTTCCGTTACCGTCAAAAGGGGTTTAGCTTACTGAATAAAAGAAGGTATGCATGTCAGCATGTCAATGAACTGTCTTTGTTGTAAAAGATGCTAGGGATTGAAGCCCATCCCACGGATCTCTCTCTCTCTCTCTCTCTCTTCTCCCTTTTTTGTGTTTTCTCTCTCTCTATCTCTCTCTTTTCTCACCTCTTTGAAAGTTGAACTTAATGACCTACCTTTCGTCCACCCCCTCCCACTCAAGTGTAGGTCCTGCCCAGACGTAAGATTCCGATTCCCATGGCCAATGTCCCAATGTCTGCAATGGCCCACATCGCCGCGGCACATGTCGTGATTTCTGGGAGTTCATCGGATGTCAAAGGTACACGGCCTTGCTGAAAGGATGGCCTTGCCGAGCTTTGATCACCAGCAAAAGATTTAGTATCGCCATAGACAGGATGTTGTGGTGTGGTTTTATATCCCAATCAGTGTGTGGGGTGTTTTCTACATAACGACTATAATTTGTTGGACTTAGCCGCCTTAGCCTCACTGAAAGAACACTTCATTGCATGAACTTGAGCTTGGGTTTGACCTAGCCAAGAGAAAATATTTCAAGTTCCAAGCAAGGCCGTTGCGTTCAAGAAGCGTTGAGTCCAAGAGACTCTGCGGAGATCTGTGGAAAAATTATATGATATCATCCAACAACAGCAACTGTTCAATTTAAAGTTACGTGAAGGTAGGGAGTTTCGATGTTTCGATTCAGTCCATTTATATAGAGCTTTCTCATTTTATCAGGAGATGGGCCTGGTGGAACAGGATGAGGAAGGCGGCCGCATGATCACCAAGGACGTGGAGGGACGTCTTTCAAAAGCAGGTGGACTCGGACGAATGAACTGGAGTAGACTGCAATGAAACCAAGACCCTCCAACCTAACGAACCAACGAATGTTGCGAATTGGAACGAACCAACGAACGAGCCGAACTTCACAAACGAGCCGACTTCTCGGACCTTTTCTCCAGCACCTTTGCTACGTTCGGAGCGATCGGACGCTACGAACGGGGCACTCCTGGCCTTACTACGTTCGAGCAAGAAGCTACTAGTAGCAAGGGGCCTCGCTACAAGTAACAATGGGCATTATCACTAGTAGCATTCTTGCTACTAGTAGCGTCCTTGTTACTACTAGTAGTAAGGCCAGGAGCGCCCCGTTCGTAGCTTCTTGTTACTAGGAGCGATGCTCTTTGTTGCGTTCGTAGCGTCCTCTTGCTACTTGTAGCATCGCTCCCCTGAGCCAACGGAGCGAACCGGCAGGAAGGCCAACGTGAGCTGGACACGGTGGCCGTGCAGGCGGCGGCCGAGGAGGTGCGCAGTCTCCGGCGAAAGAGAGTGGATACTGTAGGAGAAATCGCCCATGGATGAGTTTTCTTTTTTTTGTGTTGGAATATCCCAATGGATTGAAACCAACCAGTTCGAGGAAGAAATTGGGAACCTGTTGCCTGCCGTGGAGTCACGGAGTCAAACGTCGTTTTCAGGTTCGGGTGTTTAGTGGCATCGATACACTTCCTGGCACACACATCACACACTTGTGGGTTTGTTTGCCATAGGCAGATTCTTGGTTCTTTTGGTTAGCTTATCACCAGGTCCTAATATGGTTTCCACACCACCGTGTGCAAGTGTTTTGTAAATAGCCTGAGTTTCCTTTTCGTTTGATGGCCTTGAAGCATGCCATCTTCACATCGACATATTCTGAGGTTTTCTAGTGGATGCACTTCCCAGCAGTCGCCCCTTTATCAATAACTTGATTACAGGTGTTTTGGTTTCCCGTTAGTAGGAATAGGTAGGAATAATATCAAGACAAAACACATCTACAGATTATTTAAAGCACAAAGACGACATACCAATCAAATCCACTTTGCCCATGTGACCCCCACGTGACCACCCCTGTGACCCCTGGTCACCAAAAGTGTGTCTGTTTGGTTTCTTTTGATCTGATTAATCTGATCCAAGTTATCCATTTCCATTCGACCCTGTTTAGATGCTCTTCTCTACAGTAGCTTTAGTAGGCGCTTGAGACTGGGACCGCTGGGCCTGGCCTGAAACTGAAGTGGAAGACCAGCAACTTCGTGCAATGATGTTGACACAAGTTTGGATTCTTATAGGTAAAGATGTCAGGAGAGCACATCTTGAATAGTCTTAACTCCGACGGATCGCCCAAGAGAAAAAACATCCCTCCCATGTTGAAAATCCCTTCGCAGGAAGAGGAGGACGAGTGAGCGATTCATCGGGTGCGTGAAGTTGAGAAGGAACAAGGCCGCAGAAAAGGAGGTGTTTGCTGCGAGCGGCATGACCCGCGGGGGTGGGTGGGACATGGATCTGGGATGATCTGGAGCTACAAAACTCTTTGGACCTACAAGTCAATAAAGCATTGAAGGGTGGTTTTCATAGAACTTTCCAGCTTTGAGGGCCAAGGGGTTTCAAGACAAAGGAGTTGACAGTAATGGCTGTTCGGAAAGCAAAGACCAACTTCTATATGTATAACTATATATATACACTATGTTATGTTATATATTGTTATATTATAGTATATTTGATTGATTTTCATGGCCACTACAGGTCAGATCTTCGTTTCTCTTGAGATCATCGCAAGGACGTGGCACCCGATGTGCGTTCGGCCTATATCATAAAGAACCGGGACATGCAACGGAGGCACGTCGAGCCGGGCGATTTGTTTCGAGTTGGTTTGGGTAATCAAAGACATAACATCCTATAACTTCTAGAACATATACGTTCATATAATCATATATACGTTCAACCTAAGACATATATATATAATATGCAGTAGATCAAATTAGATGGGATGTCATGGGAACATCGGTGTGGGTTCCTCGGTGCCACCGATGTGGGTCCGGCATCCGCTCTCGTTTGGTCCTGCCATGCAGGACCAAAGCCAACTTGATGAACCGGATGGCAGAGTTGGAAGGTGCAGAGATGTGCAGAGGATTTTTGACCGAGCCCTTGCAGTTGGACGTCGTCAAAGGTTCCTACATACCAGTTGGGTTTGGGGGTCCTTTCAGACCCTTTACTGTTTCTTTGTTCAGATCTGTTCAGAGAAACAGTGGTTCAGGCCTCAAGCCAGTGTGTGCCAGTCCAGCCCATCAGTTCTATCTACCTACACCATCCTACACCTGTCCAATGACTCGTGAATCAACAGTATGTCTTGCGACAGCCAGCTTAGCTCCACGGCTTCGCCCACAGTGCCGGATGGAGCAGAGCGCGGGGAGCACATAAAGGGGTGTGCAATGGTTAGATGGCTTTAGTGAACCCGAAGCACCTGGAATCCTATAGAAATATATAAAAAGAAACTGGCGAGCATTTATATAACCCTCGCTCACCAAAATCGCTTGAAGACCAGTCAAGACCGCCAGGTACTCGGTTGTCTTCTAGAGAGCTCAACCGCGGGTCACAGCTGGCATGTTTGGTGTTAACGATTTGTTCGCTGTTCATGATTTATCATGATTCAGGTTTAATCAATAACGAGACCAAGAATCTGAAAGAGCTGTAGTCCTCATGTTTTGAATCATGGCAAAATCAGGTGAGAAGATAAAGGAACTGAATGTATGATGAGCTTGTGAAAGTTCATAAACTGTTGGCTGTGTATTTCTGTCGTTTCCAATTGGCACCACAGCACTTGTTGCCGCCGATTAGAGCCTTGTCCGTGGAAATCACATTCCACGCATGCCTTTCAACGTGTACTAAGGAGTATGATATTGAGTATGAGTTCAAACAGCTTCAATCATTTTTAATCGAGCAATTCAAAAACAAGTACTTGGAGACTCCAGGTAACTACCAAAGTTTTTCTGGTGAGACCATCCAACTCCTATACGTAGAGTTCTTTGATGACCGGCGGTGAAACAACCACAAAAGCTCCCAGAACCTCCAGTCTTTCCCCCCCGAAGCAATACGGGTGGGTTTTGTAAACGATTGCCTTGTGCGGTTCTATATTGTACTTTGAACCCAACCAAAAAAGGCTACAGAATTAGCTGCATGGTTTCCTTTCAGGTGCGCTTGTTGCTTTTCTTACGTGTGTTCGTATAATAAGAAAGCACCGATCCCACAGCAAAGACAGGACGTTCAGCCTGATGAATGTTGGGGACTCAGTGCAAGAGGCGAAAGGACACTTTGTGCGGGGCTTCTGAGTCATGTGATGTCACATGGCTTTGGCCAACACGTCAAGCTTAGGACGTGAGCCTGAGACAGGGGGACAGTTGGGCCATCGTGGGTCGATCTGCAACGATCCGATTGATCCTAATGATCCTATGGGCTTCAGGCTTCCCAAATCGCGCGCACATGGTCTACGTGTGACGAGAGATGTATGGTATTGTCTTGTCTCATTCTTTAAGGACAAGGTGAAGACTGGTACATACGGGTACCTAACCACTGGCCAAATCGACTCGAATGTGGCTAGAATCTTTTCTTTGGTTCAAGGGGTCCTATTTTGAGGCCAAGCAGAGTTTGTTGAGACGAAGCACTTGTGATTTTTGTAACGGACAATCCAGCGGGCCCTGCGCAACGATTCATTTAGCATATTTAAACCGCATCTAAAATTGGAAGAGGGAAAGCGTTCCAGCTTGTTTGCAAGCGAACTACTTATATACTACTTAGCCCGCGCGAGAAAACATAGACTGTTTCGTTTCGAGGGTTTTGTCCACATTACTGTCACACACACAGGTGGATGTCAATGGATTCTTTGTTGTCTTCATGAACTATCTTCTCCCCAGTCAGATTGACAATGTACCAACAAGAAGCTGTTGTGTTCCCGTCGTCCCATGCAAGCTTTCTGACTCACGCATTTGTCATTCTGAGGAAGATGGTGTGACAACACTGATGTGAGGATTTGACCAATTCGGTTTGGGTCGACCCCCCCGGTTGGTTCAGAATGGAAAGGGGTTCCGGGGGCGGGCCTCTCCCCATCTCCCATCGGCAAGAGGTCCCTGCCAGCGATTTGGTCCACTAAATGGGATAAACAAGACGGGTCAACTCCAGCCCTGACCCGTTGTTCCACGACTGGTTGAGGAAAACATGTATGTCTTGACACTCTTGTGAAGACGATGAAAACAGCAACCGAGGACGTGAAAACAGCAATCGAACGCCGAACGCTATGGGACATGGTGAGACTGACCTCGCGGATGGAGTTGACCCTGGTCGGAAACCAATGACACTGTTGTGAATTTGGTGACAACGTTGTGAAAAGAAACACAAATGACACGGAGATGTCACTGTGACTGTTGTGAAACGATGACCGCGTTATGACCACCGTGAAGATGGAACAGCTAATGAACTATGAAATCTAGAATCTAGACGGAACAGGCCCGGGCACTGGGCACTAATACTTTCCACACACCCAACTTGTTTGCAAGTCTAGACACTACTCACTGAGCAGGATTGTCACTGTACTCACTGTACTCTAGTTCCATGACACGAAGCCGGGAAATGTGGCACACCCGGACGTATCACAGCTTGCTTTTGCTTTGGGTAGTTGCGCGAGCTCCACCGTTGATGCGTGCATTGGCTACAATTTTTTGATATTCAGCTGGCCTGGTAGTTTTTTGCGATCTAAGAGTTTGAGTTTTGGGCATTCGCATACTGCTGAAACGCCAATGAGGGTTGGGTCAGTTCTCCCATGCACATGCTGGCAACGATCTTCCCATAAAGATGTTGTCCGAATTTTGTCCTAATCACCTCAATAATATGATTCCATACTATTCCTTTGCAAGTCGGTCATGCTCGGCTTCTCTTGTATTCCTGGTAGCAGATAGCACTTCACCCTTGGGCAGAACATTGACGAACATGTCTCCCACGTTTGGAACCCCCGGTCGCCTGTCCTTCGCTTGCTGTCTCCTCACATGAGGTGGATGACGAGGAGTTCGACCAGAACCAAGGCAGAGGGGGAAATTATCAGGTCTTCCGAGGCGACAGCTTGGAAGCCCTTGAAGCTTGGGACGAGTCGGAGATGGACGACGTGGAGGATGCCAATGAGAACTTCCAGGCGGCGACCGTGATGCAACGGTACCGCGATGGAAGATAAGACTCATGCACTCTTGACGTAAAATACCCACAAATACATGTTTTTCAGACTTGAGTACAGCACAACGACTCTTCAGACCGCTTCAGGCCAAATGTAATTATTAATTACTGTAATGTACACTGTCAGAACAATGCTTTGGAAGCAATATGAAAGGCTAACGTGCCACAGGAGTAAGTAGGCTTGTATTGGCCTTTGTTCATGGGAGTTCCTTACTAGCACACCATGCCAAAGGTGATAGGCACGGATCAGTGCCTGCTGTGAAGTGTGCATGGCTTTCAGATACTGAACATGGTCCACAATGGTGACAAGTAGCTTCCCTACACTCCCTGAAAGCTTTCATGGAAATGGATGCCATGGCCATGTTCCAGAATGGATACACGGGGTTTTCCCCGTCACGAGATGTTTGTCGCTCCTTTGGGGAACGAAGCCTCCGGGTCGCAGCACAACCAAGGAGGAGTACTCCAACCAGGAGAGAGAAATCCAAAATGCTCAGTCACTGAAGTAGCTCTTCAAGATGGTCCTGCCAAATGGTGACATCGCGATGCATATTGCCTAAGACAGAACAAACATCTATAGGCATATCTTTGTTTAAGATGGATGCACATTGAACGCAACAAAGACCTCGTGTTAAACATGTAGTTACATGTAAAACTCGTTGATGGACATGTCCACGTTCCATTCGCACGAGAGGTGTTGAAGGATTTCCTTTCAACTAATTTGCCACACTATATAACTATATAATATTATATATACTATAACTATATATTATATAGACTATTTATGTATACAATAGTTTATACATATTATACCGCGAATTGAACCGCTTGGCAGAGACATTACATTCACAGCTCCGCCGAAAGCAGTGCTGGTGCAAAAGAGCGACCAAGCGGGTGGTAGGGCGTGGCCAAGCGGTTTTTTGGGGGACGTGTGTTGTTCTGAGAAACCTGGCCGTGGGCTGAAGCCATATATCCATAATTTGTATATATTATATATTGCCAGGCTCGGAATGAAGCCCCTTTAACAAAACGAACGAGAGATGTCCCTTTGGTGTATTATTCTGAATAAGAAAACAACAACTTGAAAGCACCTTTTTGCAATGACATGCTGGAAGGTCCTGTCCCTTTTTCGGCAGTGCTGGACAGTGCTTTTACATTCGATTGGTCCGACCGTCGCCCTTCGGTCATTTTTGACCTTCAGTATCTTGGCTACGGAGAGCGCCCAGCGGTTGGTCCAGAGATTCCCAGCCATGTCGATCGATGCATATGACAAGTATTTCAAGGAGTGCCGATGGTTGGAACCTGCCCTTACAACAGGTTGATTGAGATATGTTGAGATAAGTAGTAGATGATTGGAATCTCCCGATTAAAATAAAGGTATAACACACGTATAGTCTCCACTTGCAGATCCTAAGACTAAGACGTTGAGCTGACCAATTGCTGGATGAACAGAAGGTTTTAGGATGCTTTACGTAGCTGGCAGGTTTCATGTTTGATGGCAACATGGGCAGATGAACTTCCATAAAGCTAGCATCAAGAAGTCAATGCAGAACCTCCAGAATGGAGAACAAAGCTGTTTTCATGACAACTATCTTACGAAGACCACGGAGCGTTTTCGTAACATGCAACAAAATGATTGAACACGTATGTCTTTGACCCCAAGACTCGGGCAGGACCTGCTTGCTGGGTACTCGGCATCTCGCGTACTCGAAGGGTCGTCGTCCATTCCCCGGATCAGACCGTTTTTGTGTGCCTCAGGGGATTTGGGGAGCTTCAAGAACCCCTGGCATGATTGATTTGGTTCCTCATTTTTTGGGAGGTGAACCCCAGTGAACCCCATGCGTTCGCTTTTTGTTACTACTAGTAAGGCACCTGTTACTACTAGCGTGGCACTTGTTACCACTAATTGGGTTCCTGGATGTTCCTGGCATGATTGTTCCTTCGATTCCAGGAGGGTCGGAAGATTGTGACGGTGCCCTTTGGACTGGAGAGGGAGTCCGGACTGGACTGGGCCGTGGACGGCTGCTCTAAGGAGTCCTGGAGACCTTAAAAAGGTGATGAACAAGTTCCTTCAGAACAATTACTCTCCTGAAAGATTTCTGAAACAGCTGCACTTGTAAGAACAATGTGAGAACAATGTGATTTGTATCCTGTCTGAAAAAAGATGTTGGCCGTTTCACCACTGGATTGGGAAGCCTATCAATCTCGAAGGCTGGGTCACTGGGTGAGCTGACAGGACGAGAACATGTTCGGTTCTCCTTCCCTAGAGGAATCTGCAGCCCCAGGAGGCCCTTCGAAGCAGGATCGGATTGTTGGAACTATGCCACTATGCGGGTTTGGGGTACGATTCTTGGGTTTGACATGCTGTATTTCAACTTCAAGACAAACTAGTCACTAGTCTGAGACGACAAGATCGGGCGTGTCATGTTGTTGAGGCCCGGTGCCTGTTGAAGCAGGTTTCAAGTACAAATACAGTAGATAAAAAGGGCACTTGTTAAGCTTCCCTAAAGATCTAGGAACCAAATGATTAGTGCGAGCGCTTCTGCAAGGAAGCTCCTTCAACATGCATGAGCTATCCTGCGTCCAGTAGCTAGGACCGTACAAGTCAGCCTTTAATTGAGTAAGGAGGCAGGCCAGAGAGTGGGCGTTAAAACATAGGTAAAAAAGCTAACAACGTCAATGGCCGTCGGTCTATGGCTTGTGGGCTGGGTTCATGGCCGTGGACCAGAATTTAACGCCCTTTGGACTTGACCTTCTTCAGGAAAGATGTGGAACCTGAGAAGTTTATTTCCGCCTTCTCTCAGCACTTGAAACGTCAAGGTGGGCGTTGGGGCGCGCAGCATGGACTGGTGATCCAGCAAGGAAATCATGTTGTTTATATGTTTTGTTGCAACAGGACACGGAGTATACCAGAGTATAGAACATGTTGTTGCATTTTTTAAGTATATGGTTGTATATTGCATCCAGTTTTTTTAGTTTTTGTGTGTCCCGCCACAATCGATACTTGTACCAGGCAAGAGGCTATTTAAATTGCATGATGTGACAGTGGTTTCATGCAATCATTTGTTGTTGGAGCTAACCAAATCTCAGTTGTCTATTGGGGAATCTATTTTGGAGTACAACTTATCGTGACTCCTCCCAAAAAAGATGTATATAAATCCCTCAAGATTATTGGAAACAGTTTTTTTGTTTGGGGACCTCTACACAGTATGTATGCAACATAATATACAGTAGTACTACTCACAGTAAGCTGAATGCAGATTGCTTCAACAGCTCTGACTTGTTCAGAGAACCCCTTTTGGTGCATGAGGAGACAGATACCCTGACCTTTGATGACGATTCCTGCTGATGCCTTTATTGACCGGCAGACCAGGGTATCGGACAGTTACAATGTTACAATATCGCCTTTTTTTTGCCGGAACTCTGCTGAAAGGACTCGGACGGCTGTTTTGGCCCGCTGTCACAAACTTGGCCATGAAAGCCCCATGTTTTGGATTGTTGGAATCGTATGCTTAGATTTACCTTAAATGCTGGTATGTATGTCTGCGATGTTTAAAGCTACCTTTATCACCCATGGGCAACTCTTCTTCCGTTCCATTGTGATCCAAACCTATAGGCTCAAATCGTGATAAGATCGTGTGGTAACACCCATGTTGCAGGCCTTTCTACTATGGCGGACGGCTGTTCTACTATTGCGGAAGTCGTCCTTTCCATCACACTTGTGTGTTACTTGCTTGTTTGTCCTTTGACTTGTATTCCACTCAATTGATGTTGTATGAACAAGCAAACTCGAGTATATTATGGCTGTTTCATATGCAAGATCCTGCTTACACACAGCCGGGAGAGCGGTCAAGCTGTAGGGCTTTCGGTATTGGAAGACATGCCCACTTCGGGACCCAAGCTTCAACATAAAAACTTAATAAACAAAACAACAACATTTAAAGGCTTTGCATAGTTTATATAAGAGCCTAGCATTTGTCATTTGTTGCATAAAACGAGTGCTCACCATGATCACACCAGGAAAGCATGCTGAACAGTTGATGCCCTGGCAGCAGGTCTTGCTGGAAATGTTGATCCATGTTCCAATGTCTGCAAATGTGTGCAAGGTCAACACTTGCTCAAATCAGAATGGGATCATGGTAGAACGAACTGTCCGTAACATTTCCTTCACATGAGCCTCAGCTCAAAGTCGCGGTCTTGTATAATCGATCATCAAAGTGGCCTCGCTTTGACATAGGTCTTAGCACACAAGAGGTGTTTTGATCCCAATATGATCCGCATGTGATCACAGTTCTCCTCTTTGCAACTTCTTCCTAGGATGTATATATATATATATACATACTCTATGTGGCATTTTCAAGTTAACACATTGTCCTAACAATTATGACCCTCCTTGTTTGCAATAGGATTTGTTCTCTCTAGAACACTTATTCCAAGACAACCTTCTGAATTCACGCAGTTTCTCAGAAGACACGCCGTGCTGGGTTAATTACTCTACATCAAGCCAATGAACAACAAACAGACGATGTGTTGTCACTGTGCTTATTTTGTTTTGAGAGGCACTTGCTTGTCAGTACGTTACATCCAACTGCTTGTAAAAATATTAATGTATCTGGATTGGTTGTTTTGTGCAGGGATTTTCCTGAAAGTATGTTATTTTGGAAACGCTTTGAGGTTTGGGCAAGCTTTAATGGGTTTGGATCGGTGTGTTACTTCAGGTTGCTTGTATATATGCAAATGGGTGTACTTATGTGTACTTGTAAGCATTTGTTCTTTACAGAGGTTGTGATATATATATATATATATTTATTTATTTATGTTGTTATTTTCACATCTGTTTGATGTGGATAATTACCTGTTGTACATGAATGTATGGCCCCCACTACACCACCTAATCAAATGGTCCATGGTTGCCACGTAGTTGGCCCACGGCTGATATCGCACCGTGTGGTTTCGGGTGGGTTCAGTGGGCGGTGTGGTGGGGTGGGGTGGGTGTGTTTTCGATCTGCGTGGTTTTGCAGGGGGCCTCGAAGGTCGCAGTTAAGTTTAGGAGACATGAACAGCGGCAAAGGAGGCAAAGCCTGGGCCACTGAATCCACAAGAGTTGCTGCAAGCGCTGATTGCCCTGAAGAAGTGAAAGTGCTTGAAACAAACAAGTTGACAGTGCCACCTTTGATTTGACACACGGCATAATATCTGCCGTGGACCTAGTTCACGTTCCTGACACTGGTGCCAATGACGGCACCATATATATAAATATGTACAAGCAGCGTCTCAGAGAGCGATATTTTTATGCCTGCAGCCCCTCAGAGCCACTGCGGCCGCAGTTGAACATGCAACAATTTGTTACCCCTGTCATCAACACCAGGTGTTGAACTGGTTCGAAGCAAACACAAACAAAGCACAAGGACATTTGCAATTGCGTGCATGTGTTCAGCCTCAAAAGTTCCTCTTTGCGCAAGAGCTGGGTAGGCCTTGACCTCAAACATTTGGGTCAAGCCTAAGCTTCACTTGGGCGGTGCATGACGGGTTTTTGCATCAGTCGCTCACAATTGTTCGTTCAAGTTTGGTTGCATGTGGACAGGATATTGTTTTGCAGATGTTCTTTACTGATGTGAACTCCAGTTGCGCTGAAGAAATCCTCCATTCCTGCCCCGACACAAAACATGTGACAGACCACAGGGAAAACACACAGTCTCTTGTACATAGGGGCCAGGTATACTTTTTCTTCCGCTGAAATTGGACCCAGTGTTTTCTGAATTCATCCTCTTGTAACATGCCCGCTGTACCGCTGCAAAGAATCTCTCCACCGTGACACGTCACGGACATGTCGCGGACGTGTCGCTCGAAAGCCGCGAGAGGTCGCTTTGAACTTCCGAAGTGGGCAGACGTGGTGAAAACCAGCAAGGCCAGGGAGTTGCCACCTTCAGTTCCTTGGATGCACTGGGGACGAGGGAAAAGTGCGACCGAGTGCGGTGTGACGTTATTGTTGTGTTTTTTCCTTCTTTTTTCAGGTGCCACCAGAAGACCAACATGAATGGTATTGGAAGTATATCTTGCCACTGTGGCAACCTGGTGCCAAAACTATGTATTTTGTGGTCGATTCGCAATTTTGGATACAGATTTGAAGGAAGATTCACATCCATCCATGTTCTATCCAAGATAACAGGCAGTTTGATGTTGTGAATTGTTGTTTTCCTTTGAACCCCAAACCAGCATTTTCAAAATATTATAATGGAAATTTGAGCACCAGAACACTTGTTTGTCGTAAAGGAGCTTGCCTGCATAGTGCTTGCCTGCCATGAGCAGTCTCCAACGTTCGCCGGTTGCCCCATTTGTGGATTTATGAAGTATAGTTAGGGTGTGTTTGTGTTTGTCCCATTACCTGATAGCAGTCGGTACGCAATTATCACGGTGTTTTGAACAAGGCCTTTGCTTAACTAACCATCATCATCCACTGTTACTGGCAACGGGATGTACCCAAAGCATAGTCAATCCTGAACTTAGATGGAAGTTGTGTAGCTACAAAAGACAGCACCGTGACCCTCTATCGTTGGATTGTGATTTAGCTGTTTCACAAGACGTTGTTTTTGATATTGTACAGATGTTGTGAGCCACTGACACAGTGTCAATCCATCCAAACCACTCTTGACTGGGGGCTTGCCTTTCATACGAGTGAGCAGGTCCCTGCTGCTTTTACTGCAAGAATGATGGCAAAAGCATGCAAAAGAAACACCTTGTTCACTCAACAAAGCCATCAGCCTGCATCGCCCTACTCAAGACTGGCCAGCCTAAAGCCTCCTAAGGCTGGTTGTTTCTGGACATCAAAGGCCACAATCAACGGGCCCCCCCAAAGTCAGGTGCTTTGACTTGTCAGACCAAGGACCCTGACTGGCTCTACGTCCGAACCGCTTCGATGGTGAGAAAGATCTACATCCGCAAGGGCATGGGTGTGGGCCACTGGGCATCCAAACAGAGAATCCACCCGAAGTCAGCAACCCACAATGGCCCACTACATCGAGGAATCTGAACATTCCCTGTACGGACTTCCGCAGCGGATAACATTCGGTCAGAAGTTGAACTTGGTGGACGTGGCTGGGCGTTTGGGATTGTGCTCAGGAGCCTTCCGAAAGGTGTATGGCAGCCAGCAACGACGAGGCACTTGCACCAATGTCTTTGTCCGGGGCTCAGGGAGTGGCAGGAATCATGACCTTGGCTCTTGCTGCAAGACCCTTGAAGTGCTGCTTGGCACAAACACACAAAACACTTATAATAGTGGTTATGTTATAATCACTTCTTTAATCTGAACAGTATATATTGTTTTTGCGTCGTCATCACCCAATCTACGATGAAGAAGACTTCTGAGTTGTCCTTGATTTGGAAACTTACTTGCACACAGCGCTCCTGCAATATATTGTGTTATTAATCCACCAGGTAGCGTTCAATCATGTTCAATCCATACACTTGAAGATGAGCGCTCCTGACTGCTATAAACATGCATAATTTTTGGTGTTCTTTAACTGTTGCTGCAGTAGCAGTAGCAGTAGCAAAGCAGTTTGACATCAGTTCGGACGCAGTTCCCTCAAAGGACGAAGACAGCTGGATGCTTCGTCTGACGAATGCAGTTCCCGTTCGGCGTTCCGGCGTTCCGGGCTGAGACGAAATCCTCTGGAAAGATTGCCCGATATATCCTCCAACAGTTGGAGGCGGCAGCCACCTTGTGCGGATGAAGATAGACCATTGAGGGGTCCAGTTTGGAGATGGATGTTAGGAGGTGTTCCAAAGGCTTTTGAAACTTCATGAAGCTTAAACATGCTGGAAATCCTTTACTCGTTCACATCCTTTCACGCTTCTGTAGTTCCCAGCTTGTGCACTTCGGAAATGCTGGGAGGGGACAAGTTTCCGACGTTCTATTTTGTTTTCGAACAAGAAGAGGTTCCGGTGCTGACATCACGGGAAGCCACAACTGGTCGATTGGAAGGTGGCTGGAGTCGTGATACACCTTAATGGTCCTCCCTAGTTTTCGGAAGAAGCGCCCAGGGATCCGGTTCTTCAGAGTTTGATTTTGAGCTCCTCGCTCTCTGTCTTAGAGTAGATGCAGCGATTTGTGCATCGTGTGGTTCTGCTTCTAGCGGTTCTGTGGATTTGTGCGTTCTTGGTTTCTTCGGTTGATGTCTCGGTGGGCAAACCATGGCAAACCAAATAAGAACCCGCTGTGGCGGAAGTGGTGCTGGTGGCGGTGGTGAAAGCAAGTGTTGTACCTACCAAGACACTTGCGCTTCAATGTCCATGTCCAGCAGGCAAGTGCATCACTTGCCACTGGAGTTTCTTTGCTCCACATGGAATATGCTTTTGATACCCTTGTTGCTTTTAGGATCCCTTCTCCTCCTCTTTGGAACTCAGTCTGATGTGATTTTAGACGAGCATTGATTGCAGGAGATGGGCCTGGTGGAGCAGGACGAAGAGGGTGGCCGCATGATCACCAAGGACCGCGCTTCTTTTGATGCCTTAACAACCCGATTGAACAAACACTGGAACAGGTAGTACCAAGGATGTTTGATGATGTTTGTATGATAGTGAGACATTAAGTCTATAAGTCAAGATTGTTTTTGATCCTATGATATGTTTCCACTTACACAATGTAAGAACCTCACGTTGTTCCACCATGGCGTACCCAGGGGTACCTTCCATGAAATGCACATTATTGTTGGGTGAAGACCGGCTGATGATGCTCTCCTGGATGGACATTTTTATCCAACGGCCCTATTACACAGATAACAGAAACTCTAGAACGAAAGGGTCGAGAGAGCTCTCTGCTGAGAAATGCCGGCTTGGATCTCCTATGCTTATACAGGTCATTTGGGCACCGACCTGGCCTTTGTTCTAAACTCTGTCAAATCGGCGATGATGCAACACTCATACCCCATATCCTCTCAGCCCCTGATTGAATCACATTTGTTCCGTCAAATGTCAATGTCATGAAAAGGATATTATTGAGAGCGGTGACAAAATCGATGGCAGGGATGACTCTGAAGATGGCAAGTCAGCACATGCTGTTAAGGCGGAATTCCCAGGCTTCCAATGTTTTTCCAATCTGTGTTGACAAACTATCAGAGAAGCCCAGCAAAATGTTTGGACATAATTATATAGAGTGAATTTACACACCATGCAAACATTACTTCCATCATTTGGTGGTGGCAACTCGTCACAAAACGGATGCGGCGGATCGACGAGGAGTGTCAAAGCCTCACGATTAAAAGTCTCGGACGAAGGCATTTCGTCTGGTGAAGCTGTGAACAGGATCGTTTAGGGGTAGTTCGATTACAAGGATCAACAGTTCTCTCTCCACAGTCTACACTTGGTTTGTAAAGCAAAGTAAATATATATATATACACATGTTGTTTCCTGGCAAATCAAAGTTATACATGTTCCACCATGCTGCTTGCAGCCGGCAACACCATGCATGATCCAGTTCTTTCAATTGAGCGAACCCTTCCTGGTTTGAGAACCCACAAAGGGCCGAAACTGATTGTGCCAAGCGCTTGGTGAAGTTCTACATGACAAATCAAACTTGCACTTCCATGACTCGTTTTTAGCGTCAATCCACACCCAGGCTCCCGCAAATTGGTGAGATTGGAAGGTTTATCCCTCCTGAGTCACCTTTGAACACAGGAGGGCCAGCGTGAGCTGGACACTGTGGCCGTCCAGGCCGCTGAAGAGGAGGTGTGGCGGCCAAGATGGAAGGCCAACAAGGGGTGTGCGTTGTGGTCATATCCAACATGCCTTTTCATCTATGTTTTATACTTGTCCTTGAAGACCAGCCTTCTCTAGTTGTGGGGAGGTCGTGTTGGCAAGTTCCAGTGCCATGATGCCCAGGATGGATGGTTTCAGAATATTCAGGTGTCGTGAGGTAAGTACCTGGGTTACACATGGTTCCACCATTTCATTCGAGAAATCTGTAGTTTCATTGGATTCCCAGACTTGGACATCTCTTCATGGAATCCATGGGAAGCGATGAAGAAAGTTTGGCTCAGACAACCACCTCATATATATAATATATAATATCCTATATATAATTACATATTATATTGCTAAACATCATGTGCCGGGGACTCCGGTCGAGTCTCCTGAGCATCGCTATGGATCTATACGCTGCCGTTTTGGTTGCATAGACTCCTGATTGCATTGTTTAGCCTACCCCACAGAAGGACTGCCAATTTTTGCTGGCGATTTTGGTGACCAAGTGAACCTATGTGTTCAATTCTGTTGCCTTTGACTATGTTTAGTCGAAATTGTGGCGACCAACCCCTTCCCCGATTCTCCACAGTCAACTACATGTTATATACAGTGATGGTGTGTGAAAGTCGAGGATTTCCATTTCTACTTTTCATGTTTGATAGTGATCCAACAGATATGTGATATGTCAAACAATACCAAACATATCTCACTTTAAGTCTCAACTCCACAAGGGTGAATGGCCAAGGAGGCAACTGCATGACATTTGGTGCTGTGCTGGTCTTTTTGAAAGGTTCCCGCAGCCGCGAGCATGGGACCTAACCCTGAACTTGGACAATTTGGGACCCTGAGCAAGCTACCCCCTTGAGCATCCAAAAACAATGCAGACAGAAAGGTACCCCCCAGCGGCCGTTCGTCATCTCAGCTCCAGGCAGATGAGGAGGACTGAGAAGATCGAGGAGGAGCATCAAAAGCGATGCACGGAGCGTTCGGGCAAAAGGTGAACAGTGCGCAGCAGGGGATGTGTGTGTGTGTGTGTGTGTGTCAGATGTCTAGACAAGCCAAGACGCTAAGCATTCAGAAGCACCACTCAACTCCACAACAAAGGCTCGGCAGGTGGTGCCCTTGTTGAGAGATTGTAAAGGCGGTCCAATTAGAAGCGCAAACTGACTTATATATATATATAGAGAGAGATTGCAGGGAGGAGTGCTATGGACTTGCGGTCAGACCACGTGGTTGATTGTGCAAACAACAGTTTTGGTGCTTTGCTGACACAGAAGCTTTCCAACACTGCAACGCTAGAGTACCCTCCATCTACCCACGTTGCTAAAGGGCATGACTACGCTGAAAGTTGGGCAATCATGCTCCTTTGGATCAGGATTCTGTCAACAGTGCGACACATTTGTTGTTTCAGGGTGCAGTTGTTCATTGCGTGTCACAGCCTGAAGGAAGAAGTGCACCTGATAGACACTATCAGCATACCATTTTAGTGTACAACGCTGCACATCCATTTAACAATTTGCTCATTGATGCAACTGTTCTATTGTTCGTTGTTTCTCATGTTCTCAATGTCCTCCGTATGTTTCAGAATTTGCTAGGGTTGAAGTCCCAAGGTTTGTTTGGCTGATAATGTGCAAAGCTCATTTTTGCTCAATCCAGGCGTCGAGTCCACAAAGTGTCTATCGAAAAAGCAGCAGAAGCTTTGTACATGTGACTGGACTTGGATGGTATTGAAGTCATATAATATGGAACCAAGCAAGTAACCCTCGACAATTGCTATTGTGCATTGTCCATTTCTCCCGATCTCAAGCACCATGGCGCTTGATGCGGAGACCCATTCCTTTGGAGCTCTGCAGAAAAAGTCGAATGAGTGGCCCCAGCGGGAGATGCAGTGGCGACATAAACTTGAGCCTTGGCTGTGCTGTTGGACCAAAGACCTTGGCATGCCCAAAATGGCGATTAGCTACATCTATCTCTCCCTATATATATATAGAGATATATAACAATAACTATAATATGTTTGACCTAATATATGGCTGATTTCTTATCAGAGACACACACACACACACCCCTGCTTGTTCGTTGGTTGCAATGCATATGTTTCATTTTTCGGAGAAGAGAAGAGCGATCAATCGCAAGTGCCAGTTCGACAGGATGCCTTTCCTTTTCATCACTTTTGCCTTTCGGAAGTCGCATCCGCACAAAGTGTTATACCAGATTTGGTTGGAAGCCCACATGCATTGCCCAAACAATCAAAGAAAGCAAACATTGCCTGCACAGGAGCATTTGCAAAGATTCCTGGCGCGGCATGGGTTCTCAGACGAGCATCGACCACGCAACCCTGCAAGATGGGCTTGAAGAAGTCTGAAGACCCTCACTAAGATGGAAAGTGGAACATGGTCTCTTGCAACACAATCTTCCTCTTCAAACAGGTTGTGTTCCACTTCTATCTTAGTGAGTCAGAGGGCACTTGAACGAATGCTTACTTTCCCAATCCAAGGAGCATTGGCATTGGAGAGATTTGATAGGCAACAGAGGTCAGATGTTGCGCAAATGTGCTGTGGTCCACCGA